TTACAAATTACCCCCAAATGTGGGGCTAAGACATTTAGCATTCACAGTTCCTGTGGGTCAGGGATCCAGGGTAGTTTAACTGGGTCTTCTGGGTCTGGGTCTCCCACAAGGTGACAGTCTTTTAAAGGATAAGCATTCAGTTTCTGGTTTACTCACCAGATTGTTAGCCAATCCAGTCTCTTGCTCACGCTTGGCTGGAAGTCTCCCTCCATTCCTTGCCACGAGCCCCCAGCACTGAGAGTCTCACGCTACAGCATCTTGCTCCATGAACAAAAGAGATGGCAAGAGAGCGAGCGCTAGCAAGAAAGCAGTCCCGGGGCGCCTGGGTGGCTCAGTGGGTTAAAGCCTCTGCCTAGAGTCAAGCTCAACAGGGTCTTCTTTCCCCGCTGATTCCGCCAAGCCCGTTCCCTTGGCTGTGGTTTCGCTGGATAGTAGGTAGGGACAGTGGGAATCTCGTTCATCCATTCATGCGCGTCACTAATTAGATGACGAGGCATTTGGCTACCTTAAGAGAGTCATAGTTACTCCCGCCGTTTACCCGCGCTTCATTGAATTTCTTCACTTTGACATTCAGAGCACTGGGCAGAAATCACATCGCGTCAACACCCGCCGCGGGCCTTCGTGATGCTTTGTTCAGGTCATGGTCACAGGGTCCTGGGATCGAGCCCCACATTGGGCTCTCTGCTCAGCAGGGAGCCTGCTTCCCTTCCTCTCTCTCTGCCTGCCTCTCTGCCTACTTGTGATCTCTGTCAAATAAATAAATAAAATCTTTTAAAAAAAAAAAAAAGAAAGAAAGAAGTCCCAGTCTTTTGCAGCCTAATCACAGAAATGACATTCTGTCACATTGGCCATATGCTACTCATTAGAAGGAAAAAACTAGGTCCAGCTCACACTCAAGTGAGGGTAATGTGAGGCAGGTCAGAAGCTACCTATCAAAAGCATGGTGCCTTTATTTGCTTGCCACATCCTACTGATAACCCTGTAGTGCACTGTGATGTGAATATTGTGGATATTCACAACCCTAAATATAGGTGATGGAAGTACTGATTTGGGGGGTATGGAATGTGGTCCCCTTTATGTATCAGACTGGCTGATAAGTGCTGAGCTGAGCTTACCTGGGCCCCAGGAGACCAAGGAAAGAGGTTTTCAGGAATGGCTGGAGTCGGGGCGCCTGTCTGAGGTCATGGAACAGAGTGAGGATAAGAAGCCCCCATGGCCTTATTAGCATGATACTCTAAATACAGAGACCAGAGAGCCCTCAGCTTGTATTTCATTATGTGTTGTAAGGTTTTGATTGGTACTTTGTGGATCATTAGGGGGAAGGGACCCTGTGGTTTGATTTATGAAGTTGCTATTAAGATCATGGAATGGGAGGGTGTACTTGTGTTAATGGTCCCATGCCCCTGCTCCCAGCTTCCGGACTCCTAATGTACATTTTCAGCAGTGAACTGAATAAAGGGAAATGGATTTGGATTATGAGACAAATGGCTAAAACAGGAGTTGCATTTCACATTTTAATTTAACAATTTCTCTTAGAAAATCCATGCATATTTATGGGAAGAGTTCAAGTCTAGGTTTTCTTCACCTGTTGCAGGTTAACACATCATTTTGGTTGTTCACACTCCAGTGTGGGAACTGAGAGAGGAAATGTTCTAATTCTTTTGTCCCAGTTGCTTCTGCAGGCTCTGTAAAGCCTTGATAAAATTCCCTCTGATAGACCTGTCTGGGACATCCTCCCCCTCCCGGACCCAGCTAAGTGCATGTCCAAAGCCCTGTTGGGAGTTCATGCAGACCTCAGTTATCACCGCGATCCCTCGTGTGCGTCTGACTATGCATCTGACACACTTTTGCATTCCTGGTGCCTATCCAGGAAGCTAGCACATAGTAAGAATTTTAAAGCTTTTGAATGGATGGATGAAGCGGTTAGTAATTAATTTTCTAAGGAAAATAGCATAAGAAGTTATAAAACTTGTTTTAACTAAGATATGTTGGTCATATAAACTGGTGTGGCACTAGAACTATAGGGATCAATATTATCTACACTCCTGAGACAAGCCAGGCACATTTTTAGTTTCTACTCCCTGGTGTCCATCAGTGGCTCATTCTTTTTCTTTCTTTTCTTTCTTTTTTTTTTTTTGCTCATAATTGATTCTGAGAGGATTTTCTTTGTAACTTCACTTGTGTGACGGTTCTATTTTTTAATTCCTCTGTCATTTGATGTTCTTAATGCTCAGTCCACTGCTTTTTTGTTTACTTGTGACTGGTAAAGCCCTTTTAAGATTACTTTATATCTACAAATATTACTAATTAGTAATCCTCAGGATTCTGTTCATAGTATAAAGGCATCCCACATTGGTCATGCAGGAGGTCTGGGGTTAAGAAACCTGGAACATACATGGAACAAAGCCAGACTCTTACTTTTTAAAATCTTGCATGAATAGTTTTTATGCTTTTTGGTTTGACTTCTGTTTCTCAGGGTAGTAAATGAGGAACCCAAGTTATACTGACCTGGCCTAGCCTACCACTCAAGTTAGCTATAAGGTTAAGAATTGATTTCACAAGCTTAGCCCAGAGGTTGTGGAGTTAACGGATTTTTTTTTTTTAATATTTTATTTATTTATTTGACAGAGATCACAAGTAGGCGGAGAGGCAGGCAGAGGGAGAGAGAGAGGGAAGCAGGCTTCCCGCTGAGCAGAGAGCCCGATGCGGGACACTCCCAGGACCCTGAGATCATGACCTGAGCCGAAGGCAGCGGCTTAACCCACTGAGCCACCCAGGCGCCCTGGAGTTAACTGATTTAATGTCATCTGCACTGTGCACTCACAGTGAATGTTTTCATTTTTTGTTCATCAGTTTTTTTTAAGATTTAGAGTATAATAGTCACACAGTATAAAGTGTCACGTTATTGTTACAGCTTTTCTGGTGATAGGCGAGGAGAAGTCATGGAGAAGTTAGATAGGGAAGATAGTTTAAGTAAAATATGTATTTATGCATGTATTTTATTATCTTACTTTACAGAAGTATGTAAGCAGCCTGTAGCTGAGGCTAACTGTCCATCTCTTAGAGCTGGTGAGAGAACTCTTCGCAGTTTTTCCTAAAGAGAACTTATTTGTCGCTATTTTATTCCAGTGCGCCCTACAATGATTTTTGTGTCCTGGATTTACAGGATTTCTGCTGCATATAAATCTGAAAGACCCAGGCAAACTCCCAAGTAGTTCCCCCACTAAAACAATTAAATTCTTGATGCTGCCGTGAGCCTCCTGCAATCTTGCAGTATCTTTGGTACAGTCCGTTCTTGCATGTGGCGAATCAAGTTCATGCACGAGGCTCAAGCTCCTAGGGAGCTCATCTCAGCTCAGAAATCCACAGAATGGCAATGTAAATATCCATGTGTCACTTTTTCACACCACCTCTTGTGAAGAATGAGACAAACTATCTCAAGAGCCATGGTTTTCCTAATGAATTGGAGTCACCTATGTGTACTGTGTTTGTGACATGCACATTTGCAGTCGGGGTCCACAGGAAGGACACCATTTCCTGGATCAAACCACAGAGTGCAAATATTGTGCCCTAAATAACACACTAGTTACTGTAAATGTCAGTAGAGGGAGTTTTCCCGACTTTGATTTAATGAAAGCCTACAGCAAAGCCAGCTGTTAGCACTTCTTAACTGCTTTTCAGAGGGGAGAAGGGGAGGGGAGGGACAAAAATCTCTTTTCTGTATACTTTAGTCTTAGAATTAAGGGGTTGCAACAGGTGTTGCAGAGTGAGACTTGGGGTCCTTTACAGCTTGATATCTTTTAGGTTGTGAATGTATAAGTTTCCCAGCACAGGGATCGTGGAGTTTCCGGAGGAGATTCATGTAAAATTAGTTTGAAGTTTGCATCTCGAATCCCCTCACCTAAGAAATAAGCATTTTCATCGTCTGGGCTCCCATGAGGACTAATAAAAGATAAAAATAGAGAGAAAGCGCACCAAACAGGGGTCCTGTCTTGGTCACTGAGGGACTCACCAAACTCCCTGTAAGCCATGTGAGTTTTCATTGTTGTCATCTGCATTTTCTGAAGAAACCACTTGAAGCAAACACACAGGGACGAAAGTATGCAGCACTCCTTTATCATTTTTGTCATTTCTAGAATGTGTTAGTAAACGTACCGCCCTTCGAAATCCCTTTGACGTTATGCTGTGTGTACTGAGGGGAGATAATCTTTCCAGCACCGAGAAAGTTTACAGTCTTATTATCTTGAAGAGAAGAAAAGTTTCTTCCTCAAATGAATTATAACTTGAAACATGTTGTCATGTTTTGGTAAGCCCACTTTATTACTTCCATCCTTCTCTGTGGCAAATTTTTTAAAAATAAATGTACCATTGCACCATAGTGCTTTCTCAATAGCATATTGTACTTATAATAGCATGATGGAAGTTGCTGGGCTCGATTTAGTCATATAGAACGCAGAGCCAAGTTCTGAGTAAAACCTCTAATTGAATTACCTGCAAAGCACTGACAGACAGGCTTTCAGGACAGACAAAGCTTTGCTTTCCCCAGCAAAAATAGGTCATGTTTAAGTTGGCCTTGTAACTATTTGTTACTGGTTTTTGCCAGCACTTTCACCTTGGGCCCCTTTTCCTGCAGGAGACGGGGAGTAGCGAGCTCTCTGACAGCCGGAGGGCTCAAGCATTATCTTCTTATTTTCAAGAAAATTGATAACAGATCAAGTTGAATGGAAGAGCCTTTGAAATAAAAATCCCAAGTATTTTTCTGTAGATTATACCAACATTCTTGCATGAGTTTTTACTGTATTGAAAAGCCGGGGATAGGAAAGTAGCCCGTTCTAGCAGTATCTATCAATCTGAAGGGTGCTTTTGTTTTAACCTCTGGAAAAAATTAGAGTATGCTGCTGTTGTTCAGCAAAGAATGTCTTGTAGAACGTTTGCATTTGAAAATGAAGAATAATCTGCTGTTGCTCTCTCCTTTCTCTCCCTTTTTGTCTCCCCCACAGCCTCTGCAATCCCAGATAATGGCAGAAGGTCCTGTCTAAAGCTCAAAGTCTTTGTGAGACCAACAAGTAAGTTGACTAGAATGAGCTTCAGAGGGTGGCTTCACTGCGCATGCTTGATCGTGTGGTCTGGTTCACCGCGGTACAACTTTTTTTACTGTTAAATCCTGTGTGGTACCTGTTTTGTATATCAGCATCCATGTTTTCGTTTTCATCATATTTTTTCTCATCATTCTTCATGATGCTTTTATTTTGAAGTACACAGCAGTTGCTAACTTGTTGTTTCTTAGACTGTTGTACGTGCACAGCAAATGGGAACAATATTGGCATTTGGATACATGCCATTGATTGTAAAACAATCTCTACATAAATTAAAGGAGACAATAGAGAGAAAGAAAAAAGAAAGAAAGAAATGGGAGTTTAAGGGTGTCTTCACTAACATATTTGGCTGTTATCTCTATTTTTGTTATAGATAGCTGTATGAAAACTATAGGTGTTCATGATCGTGTTTTCGATGTTAACGACAAAGTAGAAAATTCATTAGAACCAGCAGGTTAGTATGCTTAGAGACTCTCTTTTAACAAATGCATCTCTCTCTGGTGCTTCCGTACTTTTTTTCCTTTCTTCTTCTCCGCATGTTTGCATGTTATAGTTGCTCTGCTTTTGCTCATTGCTAGTGACGCTAATCTTACTTATATTCTCCCTCATTCCTCCAGTATCTTTGTCTAATGCATGATAGATAAAATATGATCTTTCTTTTTTGGACATGGGTTTGATATAATGCAGTATCCTAACATAGAAGCCCCATCAGAATGCTAAATCTCACTACTTTTTACCATATCCTCCGAGCATGCTGGTGGATCACTGTGAATATTAACGGATCTGTTTTCATAGAAGACAGAAAAAAACATTCTACTGTATATGCTTAAAAACATTTTTTATATTATGTCCAAATCTGTGGATAAAAGTAAGACTGTTGCCCCAAACGGCAGCTAATTCAACATATTTAATTTTCTCTGGCAGTTTACATGCATCACTGAACTGATCTAAAGACCTTTATTACAGTTCAGATATTACTTGTGCTATTGATATCCATAGCGGTTGGTCTGGAGAAGTACAGTCATGTCGCCTGACACCGCAGATTCACTCGCTTGTTACTCCCACAAATGGAGCAGCAGTCTGTGATCCTTGACTGCCGAGGCAAAAAAAAAAAAAAAGTATTGAGGAGAAATTTTTTTTCCTACTGCTACGTCCCACACACCCAGAATTTCCTGTCATTGAAGAAACATAAAGCCCATACAAGCACTCGTCGAAACATTTACAATGTAGTGTACTGTGGGTGAAGTGGTCCGGTATGCTATTCATTTTGATATAAATTCAACAAGACTGATTTTGAGGAATAGGAGTTCTCTATCCACTGTGCACTGAGGACTGTGTACCTTGATGCCCCTGTATACCTACCTTCCTCTGGTTTCCTCTCTTGCCCTACCTGCTTGAGATCTTACTGGTTTCCTTATCCAATTCCTGCTACCATCTCAAAGCTTAATGGAATTAAAATGATTTCTTCTTCACAGAAAGATGTGACCCCCTCCCCCCACCTTATGCGAACAGAGACTTTTTAAAAATCTATTTGTAGCAGCACTTCTTCTTTATGGCCCTAAAAATTAAAGGGTTGTGAAGTCCACTTTATCTTTTGATTATTGTTACTAGGACACAGTCAGTGAGCCTTAGGGAAACTTACCCGAAGTAAATGTGGTGCCTCAGGACATACAATAGCTTTTGCACTATAACTGTCAGGAAGAGTTAGGTTTTTTTCCCCAAGCATTCTTGTTTTTCTAAGGTAGGCATCTTACCCCAGCACAAATGGTAAGTGTGTACGATAAAGCTCTGAGAGGCCCTCTTGGCTCCCTAGGGATCAGTTAGCTGCTTTAGAAAGCTGCAAGGAATGAGTGCTGACCTGGAGATACTTTAATGGAGTCCTGAAAATTTGGAAGCATTCCTAGGGCTCTTCAAGGTACCAGACTCCTCCCAAACTTGAGGACTTGACCCATGCTAGGATCTTTGAGTTAGATGGGCTCTCTTCTAAGGACCACAGAGTCTACACTCTCCTCTTGATAACTGAGACTTGCCCAGGCCTCTTCAGTAGTAGAGACTGATCCAGATTTAATATTCAAATTTCTCAACCCCCATTCCAACGTGAATAGAAAAGGAGGATTCTCTTACCAATAGCAGACACGCAGATCTTCATAAAGCGAACCTTACTCTATTGGAAAGGTTAATAAGTCATGTGTAGAATGCCAGACAGAGTTAGGCATGTTGTAAATGTAAGTTATCCTGAATTACCATTTTTTAATGCAAGTTGTGGTAGAATGTAGGCATATCATTCCAATAATCTTTTCTCCAGGTACATTTCATTGCCTATCAAGAAAACAAGAGGCTGTTTAGAAACAACAGAATGCATGTTTTTCTTGGTCATCAAGAGATACACTTAGGACTATTCTGACATTAGGAAAATTACCTTTGAATTCAACTAACGATAAAATGCAAGATACTAAGATACATTCATAAATGCGAGCATAGGTCATGGTCTTTGGGGGAAATGGGCTCTTTTCCCCTGAGCATTTAAAATCCTTGATGGCTCCCAAATTGAGGCATACAGAACTGAAGGAAGTTTGCGGCAGTCCGATAGAATGTGGTATGTGCACGCTGGGGAGTGGAAATGCCGGTGCACATCCAGAGGCATACAGCCTCCTCCCGTCAGTCAAGAGTGTATTTAAGGGCTTTCTTGTGAGCATCTTCGCTTAAAAAGTAAGACAGGGTTGAGCTAGGAATGCAATAATAAGTTTGAGTACTTTGTCTTACTCCTCACAAAATCCAGTCCGACATGCAGCTTTACACCACTGTGGTGGACGGTGGAGTACAGAGCTAGACTTTATGAATCCGGAAAGCCTGAAAGGATTCCACTGCATGTTCTCGGCAATGTGTACTAACTCACCTGTCTTTGGAATGTATTTGTCTTTTTTGTTTGCTTGCACACTCTGCCTGCCAGTTTCCTATCATCAGGGATACAGGATGATCTTAGGGCGGACATATGCCACATAATACGTTCCAAAATATCGCTAGTGTTCTCTCAGTTAACCATAGAAACCCTCAGACTGTGGAATCCTGGAGGCAGAAGGCAAGACTCTATTTGGTTTCTGAGGAGGAACATCTTCTTCCTTCAAGCCACATTTACCATCGGGAGTCTTAGGAAGTCTCTGATGGTTCGATGTCATTTCCACTGGAACAGAATTTGCTTATGAATTCTTCCTTAGAATTCTGAAATTGCTCAGATTTACCCAGACAGCCAGTTTCTCATTTTGCTTCTCAGGGGCTGTAGAATCTTCCAACATTGAGGCCCTATTAGAATCAAAGGATGCTTGGTAGAATCCTGAGCCAGGACCACCATGTTACAGAGAGCAGAGAAGTACTGTGTGGTCCTAATGGGACAGATTTCCCCCTTTGAGGGTAAAATGATATTTACGGGTTGGTTGCTTAGAAAAGAGTTACTTCCCAAAATCATCCATGATTAGAAGACTGAAAAGGACATGTAACCTCATGCTTCACTTGTATGAAAAACAAAAGCTTTCCTCCTCTCAGTGTCCCGCAAGGTCATTGACCCTGTCTGGTGCTGCCAGGAGCACTGGCTGGCCCTTGCTGAGCATCCTGGAAGGACAGAGAGGGCAGCTCTCCCTCCAGTTCACCTGAGTACCTATTTATGACTAGAGTACCTTTTATCAGTACACATCTAGACTTTACAAGGAAGAGGATTGGGTAATTTGGTAGTAAAAATAAGACGGAGAAGAAACCAAGAGCTGGTGTAATTTCAGGTGTATAAATATAAATGGTATTTCAAAATGAAATCTGTAAGCCTCAGGGTTTATGGTTTTTACAAATTAAACCCAAAGTGCTCTAATATCCTGATTGACAACGTATCGATGCTCTTAAGGTGATTAGGATTTTAATTTCAGGGCTATTCAGGGCATTTATGTCTAATTCCTATTAACTACAGATGTAATACATTTGCCAGGCTGAAGAAGAACAGAGGGAAGCGTCCACAAGTAGTTGGCCCCATGGCGGGGGGGCAGGGGGGGGCTTTATAGTTTCTCCTCTGCATCGGTTTAACTTTGCATTCTTGCTTCCTAACCTTCTCTAGTTTTTTAAGACAACTGCCACCCCACGCAGGTTAGCTCAGGTCCAGGGGAGGAGAGCAAATCTGACACAGGAAGGCAGCAGCTTCTACGTGAGGACGGTCTCAAATGATAAGAGCCCTCCAGGGCAGAAGCCTTAACATGGAGCAGTAGATGCTCAGCTCCTGTTGGGAACGGAGGTCAAGAACAGAAACAGCCTACCTGCGCATATCAGAAGCAGGGGCCAGCCCCTGTGCCTGAAACGTGATCAATTTCAGACAAAGAATAGGGAGTGTGACAATACGTAGTGAAAAAGAAAGCATCCTTATTGTGACGTTTGGTGTAAAGATATAAATGAGTTTGAACCCAACGGTCCGTGAAGGGGTTCTCAGTGGGTCATGCAGGGAGACTTAGGGATTATCCTTTGAGGTCTACAAAACTGAGGAACATCACGCGTCTCACTTGTCTCCACTCTCTGATGGACCGTTTAGTGAATACAAGATGACAGTCTCTGAGCTTTTACAGGAAGGTCCCCTGATCTACCACCAAACCCCACTCCTGGGCCCCAAGAATACGTAGTTCAGGGAACATGTAGTCGGAAAGGACAAGTTAAGCCAGGAGGAAGGAAGAAGACAGGCAACACTCAAGCAAAGCCTGGCGGGTAGGCAAGCCTCTCATCTATCTTGGGGTACTAATTGCCGCAGAGTTCCTGTTTCAAAGTTAAGCCTGTTAATCGTGCAGATCAGGAAGGCTATCCAGAGTCAGAGGCAGCCTGGTAGAACACTTTAAATAAAAGAAGCTTACCTCACTTAATCCATTTTATTTAGACAAAAATTTGCATCCATGCCGATAATGCATGTGCCAAGCTTCAGCCTGATAAAAATAAAAAGAGTCAAGTTCAAGTAATTTAATCCTGGAGATACAGGGTTTGTAATGGACATAGCACCAACATTGATTCCCAATTGTAGGCAAACTAGTGGGCACCATTTATTGAGGTCTAGTGGGTATTACATATAGTTCATTGAAAATGCAGTTCTGGCAAATAAATAATAAGTAATGCAGTTTTGGCATTTAATTTTTCTTCCTTGAAAATTCTTGTAGGTAACCAACCACATAGCATTCAATACTAATCCTATGAAATAGGAGAAAAGAGGAACCACTGATCAACCACTAACATGCCAATGTAACTAAACACCCCCCCACCCCACGTCACGTGCTTCTCCATGGCATCCTGGGTTGACAGGAGACATTCAGCTATCTCAGCTTCGTGCAAGGTGTGTTTGCTAGCAAACCAAAGTAGTTCACATACCAAAGGCTACAGTATGTGTACAGTTTTTCCTCTCCGTTTTTAAAGAACGTAATAATATTGCCGAAAAAGTCCAATTTTCTCTGCTTCTCCTTTGTTTGCTGTAAATAATGAGTGATTATGCAGACATGAAAGTCAATGGTGGCACAAGGTTCATTACCCTACTTTGCAGAGGGTGGCGAGGTCTGTTAACAGCAGGCTGCTGCAAGAGAGTTATTAAGGATGTGAAATCTCATTGGAATGTGTGCTTTCTATTTGAACAGATGACACCGTACATGAGTCAGCCGAGCCATCCCGCGGTGAGAACGCAGCACAAACACCAAGGATACCCAGCCGCCTTTTGGCAATCCTACTGTTCCTCCTGGCGATGCTTTTGACGTTATAGCACAGTCTCCTCCCGTCGCCTGTCACAGAAAAGCATTAGGGTCTTGGAACACCAGAGATCCACCTAACTGCTCATCCTAAGAAGGGACTTGTTATCGGTTTTTTGGCAGATGTCAGATTTTTGTTTTCTTTCTTTCAGCCTGAATTCTAAGCAACAACTCCGGGCCAGGAGGGGCTAAAGTAGTTGCTGCTCCCCCGCCCTGCCCCCAACCCCCAGCCTTTGCCCTTGACTTCTCTCATCCCTTCCAAATTAAATGGACTCCAGATGAAAATGCCAAATTGTCATAGTGACACCAGTGGTCGTCAGCGCCTGTGCATTCTCCTCTAAGAGCCCACCTCCGTTAGCGTACTGTGACAGCAGTATACGGACAAGGAAGAATAGCGGCAGATGCGGCTAGTGATGGCAATGCCCGGGAGGGTTTTACTCTCCCATCCAATATTTATGCCTTCTCATTCAGGACTGTAAGATGATCGTGCAGGGCATTGTGTCACCATGTCAAGTCCAGAGGGGAGGTATTAAGAACAGTTCTAATATTATACCCTTTCCTCTAGGAGTATATAAATGAACAGGCTTCTAAAAGGTTGAGACACTGGTTTTTTTGTTTTGTTTTTGTTTTGGGGGGTTATTTTTTACAATGACTGTCTTAAAGCACTCTTGACAGCAAAACTTGTGCTCCACGAAAGAAGCCTTTTTTTTTCCCCCCTAGAAAACAGGTCAGGTGCGGGAATGCTAGCTAGCACAGAGCAAGGGTGAAAAGAGAGATAACTAGGTTTGGTGGGGGTGTGTACGTGTGAGTGCCTCTAATTTTTTTGGTGACTGGGCAATGCACACCAGGTTTGTTTTTTTTTTCCCTTGGAATACAGATCACCATGGTGCTACAGTTTTTTGGTTTTTTTTTTTTTTAAAGAAACTCAAAGAGGCATTTTTATGAATAAAGTGACCTTCCCCAAGGCTGACAAGCCAGGGTTGATGAGTGTATAATGGAATAGCTTTGGATACTCCTCTGGGGGACAATATGTACCAAGGAAAGGAGGTCAGCGGCCAGAGGAGATGTGATTTGGCTTTGCTGGAGCGCCAATGTGCTGTGGCCTTTCCCCGACTCCCACCCTAGTACCCATGTTTTGCTCCACACTCCACAACTACAGGGGCTCGACACACACCCCTGGCACCAGGAGAGTCAGTCAGCACTACTTGGGAGGGCTAAAGGGAAATTTGGAATAAAAATTCCAAAGTTTGGAATAAAAAATTCAAGTGTTGATTTTATATTCTTTCCCTTTCTGACACAGCCTGAAGCGTAGGGGGAACATGTGTTTATCTGTGGGAGATAAACAAGATGGAGTCCCAAAGACTTTAACAAAATATTTTTTTAAAAATCCACTAGAATAGAAAATACATTATTTAGATATACTTTATGCTGAGAGTGAGTATATATGCTTGTCCTATTTAAACTTGTGAGAAAAAAAGTGGTATCCCTTGATATATTTAGAAATATAGGGGGCTATCTTGTTTCATTGTGGGGGGTGGGGCAGAAGGAGAAAACGCAAGATGACCCTGTTTGAGGAGTCTTAGCATGGCCAACAAGGGCCATTTCCAGGTGATTACAGGAAATACAAGCCTTGGGGGTTACTACTGGTGAGGCTGTCACAAACTTTGAACTCCAAAAGCCTAGACAGGGAAAAGTCAGACCAACGGAAAAGAAATCTAGCCTTTACTAGTGCACGACATGTCAACAGGAGCCATGCCTTTCAGAACAGAATGAAAAATCCAACGATTGTGATATATGAAAAAATCGGAAGCATTCCGGCAAAATAAGTCTTCTTAAAAATAGACATATTTGTTGGTTTTTTGTTTTTTTTTAAATGTCTGTATGAAAAAAAGAGAGGGGTCATATTCTGGCCAGACTTCATGAGTGGGAATTTGCTACGAATTGTGATTAGTTCTGAATTAGGAAAATGTGTGAATGAAAGGCAGCTGTAAAGGGACTTGCACCCTGGAGAGTTGTACACAAGTTGAGATGTAATCTGGGCTTACCTGATCCATTGGGAATGGATGTTACTGCTGGGTCTCTTCACGCTTGGAACCATGGGAGTGGGGTTGCCAGCCTCACAGACACCATCAGTGCTGACCCCCCCCCCCAGACATCAGGAACTTCTCTGGAGTGGCAGAGTCTTGTCACAGAAGGCAGCCACCATTTCACTGAAACAAAAGTTCACAGCATTGGATTCTTTTTTTCCTTTAACTCTTTATATGCTCAGTACTCTCAGTAATATCCAGTAATACTTCGTTTTATTAATAGTTACAGGTTTGTTGGTCCAGTGGGATTTGAGTGGGGGTGGGGGGGAGATACCTGCTAAAATGGATCAATAGTCAGAACCAAAATAACACTGCATGTTCTATAACCACAAGGAAATCAAATGATCCTGTGATGATTCCAGTTAGTCATAACTACATTAGCAGTGCTAATTTCATTTTAGAAATGGTGACTTCTGTGGTTTTGCTAGCATTTGTCTCTAACAAATGATAAAATAATTACTCATGGCCCTCTCTGCCACTGTCTTTCATTTTTCACAGTGAAATTAGACCCCTTTACTTCATTATGCCACTACAAATTAAGTTTAAAAAAAAAAAAAAAGCAAGACTATCCACACCAGTAGACAGTGTGCTTCTCTACCTTTAAGTGATGTAATTGTAGGTAACGCTTGCCACGGAGTTTCCAAGAAAATGATGGGTATCAGACAGTTTTCATCTTGTCCAGAAATTGCTGGTGGCCTTGTTACGGTGGTGTTACAACCCTCTGGGGGCTTAGGAGGATGTCGATGCAATTTTGTAGCAGCTTTTAATTTAAAAACAACAAAAACAACAACTCAAAAGTCTGAAGGGTGGCCTTAGCTGCCGCTCAGCCCCAGTAAGTCAAACCCCAGCGACCTTTGCCCCTGGTTGCCAAGGGCTTTGCAACATGAAGCAGGGAAATAAGGATCTGTCTGTTTAGTGGATACCGTGTATCCTTTAATAGACCAGGTAACAGTTCGTGTTAGTTTATTGTTTTGTACTGTACTTTCTTGGGTGGCAGAGGAAAGAAAAGTAAAACATTAAAAAAAAAAAAAAACTGCGTTCTTTAAATTCTGTATTATTAGCAACCTCTGTTGTATATAGTGTTTGATAATAAAGTATTAATTTGATTCTTATGTCTTTTGTAAGTGAGAACAATAGCCTTTCAGGATACAAAACATGCATTGAGGCTTTGAAACATCCACTGTATACGTAGCTGAGAAGAGTCACAAATGGCTGAGACCATGCTCCATCCAGGACTCATGTGTGGTCATCGCCCTCCCAGTCGTTAGGACTCCACCATCTTGGGACCAGGAACAACATGAATTTTTGATCCATATTTTATCCTCAGTGTTTTCAAGGTCTGATGTTGGGAACCCTGTGGTGTAGTTTTCCTCCCCTGGCATGTTGGTTTAAAAAGGTTTAGGGAATTTGGTAACAGAGTTCTGTACTTTGTTTTGGTTTTCTGTTTGTGGTGGTTTTCATAGACGGTTTCATTTTTCCTCAGGAAGAGATGCCAGTATCACACGCGGCCCAAGCATGGGAAATGTTTCAAGCCAGTCCATTTAGGAAGGTTAAGTAGGGGCAGTTCCCTTCTGCCATTGTGAAAGGAAGAGTTGCACAGTACCTGTGGATTTTCAGGGACTTTGTTTTCCTCTGGTGCCTTAGCAACGGCAGCAGCCATTTTTAGGAGTTCACCCCAAATTAATTAAACCATTTCAACTCCCCTCCATTCATTGCTTTCAGAGCTCTGGTCAGTCATTTTTCTTTTGAAAACCACCTCCACCAAGACCCCCGTTTGCCTACCGCCACCACACCCCCTTTATTATGTTTACTTTTTTTTTTTTTTTTTTTTTTTTTTTGGTCTTCTTGCCTTCCTCCCACGTTTTATTTTCCCTCAGAACCGTGAACGGGCAGGTCTGCTTCTGGTTTGGCAACACTGAGTTTTTCCCATGCATTTGCCCAAGAGCTGCTCGAATGTGAGACAAATCTCCCTACAGTGGGCTTGTTCCCATTGTCTGTACAGAGTAATAGATGCTGGCATGTTGGAGGTTACCCATGAGTCAAAATTCACTTTCCATGCTTACTCTTGACACCCCATTGCAGCCACTCATTGTTGTGTGCGTCTGGGTGTGAAGTCCAGCTCCGTGTGGTCTTGTGCTTGTACTGCCCTGCTTTGCAGTTCCTTTGCACTTACTCATCGAGTGCTGTTTTGAAATGCTGACATTATATAAACGTTAAGAAAAAAAAAATGTAAAAAAAAAAAAAAAGAATCCACACACAAACCAACCCATACAATCTGTATTTGTATATACACGTGTCCGTACAAGTATACCTAAATAAAAATTAAAGATTTTCATCATTTTAATTGGCGCCCTCCTTCTACTTCTTTGTTCCTTGAATGACGCCTTTATTTTAGGGGCTACTTACACTCTGCTGATTTTTCCAAATCTGTGGATAGAGAAGAATATGATATGTACAAGAGAAGGCCTGAGACAAGCTCCAAGAATGCAGGATTAGAAAATGGCCCAGTATCTAGGCACATTCCAGTTACTCTGATGAGAAAATAGATTCAAGCCTTGTCTTTGTATTTGAGCCTTAAAATGGGCATTATGGCATCCTAAAACCACTTAAATCCAAGAACTATGTACAAAACTATGTTTTTACTTTGCGTAGTTTTTCACCCCATCAAGACAAAGACAAAATGAGCATTTTTCAAGAAACATTGCATACTGCAGAGAGAAATAATGACCATAATAACAATCACTTCAGTACAACACTGAAGGTCAGTGCTCACTCTCAAGGAAGACTCAACAGTGTGTAACCTTGGGCAAGTCACACAGTATCTTTGGGACTCCATTTCCCTATCACTAAATTCAAGCGATTTGGTTTTCTGAATATTGCCCTTGCTGAGCACCACAAAGCCCATTTGGCATCTGAGTCATGTGAGTTTTTGTCTTTGATGATGACATTACTCTAAGCACAATTTGAAAATCTCATCTGCAGAAGGGAAAAGCATCAAATATCTGACATAATAGACACCTAATGCATTTCAAGACGTGGCTTTAATTATACCATGTTAACATTAAACTCATTGAAAGCTTTTTATTATACTTAATTATTTGACAGGGCACTAAACACTAATTATAACTTACTGTAACCCTTTTTGGCTAATGAAGAGTGACAGCTTTACTGAATGAGGAACAACTCCTATTCTGAAAAAAAAAAAAAAAAAAAAAGAGAGAGAGAGAGAGAGAGAGAAAGAAAGAAAAAAGAAAAGGGTGTGCTGGACTACCTTTGTGCTATTTTCAAACCAGAACAGCATTACGTGTCATTACCATCTTCACCTTCATCATCAAAAGCATTTAAGCGATCACAACATTGTGCTCAGTGCTGTGCAGAATGAAGTTAATGTTTACAATTTGTACTTTCAAAGTTTATAAAAGGCAGACATTATGTGTAAGCGTAACATAGTACTATTTATAGAGGAAATCTAAAATTCAAACATTTATATTATGCATAAGTAAGAGGGGATTGGGATTTTAAGATTAAGAAGCTTAGAGTGAAAGCAAATCATCTTTACAAATATTCAAAATGGGGTTAGGAGCTTCTTACAGAACAGGAAACTTGGTAAGTTAAAAACTACTGTGGGCTTTAAGAGAATGGTGAAGAACAGTAAGTTTTCATGGTAGCTAACAGGTAACTGTGGGAATGAGAAAACACAAGACAACAAGTGTCACTGAAGCAAATTATGAAGATACTAGTACAGGGAAATCACCCTAGTGCCCTAAAGGAGAAGGGGAAGTGATGAAAAGATGACAATTTCGGATTCTGCCTTAACACTCAAGCTGCTCTCCTGAACTCAAGACTGTATCTACACCAGACTGAGATGTCTAGGACCTCAGCGAAAGGGTAGGCTACAGAATACTCAGATTAGAGGAAAGGGATAAAGTATAGAATATGCAACATTGGGGACTAATACAACTTCAAAGTGACATTGAATCCCTGAATTAGAGGCCACTTCCCAACAGACAGTGCTACGCACTCCAACAGGAAAGCAGGCTGGACCAGAGGTGGGACTATGAGCAGTGTTGCAGGAACCACACCTTGTTTGGCAACAAAGTATTTAGAATACTTAAGTCATCAGAGGTGCTATATTCAAAAAAAAAAAAAAAAAAAATTATAGGGTGAATTTGAGTGAATGAAACACATTTGTATTTAAATCTCTTAGTGATAATGATTAGAATCACCTCTCTTACTGTGGGAATGTATAAAATCTAGGTGTCATAAAAATTTTCAAGGTGATTCTGATGGATTGTTCACTGATTGTTCTACTTTCTTAGGAACTGTTGGCAAAACATCTTCTTAGGGATCGTTTGCAAAGCTTACTTTCATATTCTGATAACAGAAGCATTCTTCATGGGGCGCGTGGGTGGCTCAGTCCTTAAGTGTCCTGGGATCAGCCCTGCCTCTTGTCTCAGGCTCCCTCCTCAGCAGAGAGCCTGCTTCTCCCTCTCCAACTCCTGCTTGTGTTCCTACTCTGTCTCTCTCTCTGTCAAAGAAATAAATAAAATCTTTAAAAAAAAGAAAAGAAAGAAAGAAAAAGAAAGAAAAGAAAAACGAAAGCATTGGCAAAAATGTTGTGAAAAGCATTATGGTTTTTACACAGTCCTTCTGGAAAACAAGTGCTTTAGAAAATGATTATAAAT